TCTCTTAATTCGATGGTGACATTTACAATCTCAAAAACACGGGTCTGACATTTCAATATGATGACTAATTGAGGAACCAAAAGTGTGATTTTATCTTTCTTCTTTCAATAGTAATCGTAAGATGGGAAAAGTTTACAAAAGAATCATTTGTAATTTTATTTATTCTGCCAAGGATATCAGAATTATTATGTATTCCGCATATTTTTATATTTCAAATAATCTATTTATATTTTGTAATTCCAAATGCAAATCGATAAAATAATTTAGATGGTAACGTAGTGCTCAAGCAGTGGCGGAACCAGAACGAAAATAAAGGGGTGGCTAAAAACGAAAAATAAAGGGGTGGCTAAAAGTATTATAAAATGCAAAAAAAAAAAAAAATCGTTGTTAAGTTTACAAAATATAGAATTTGTGAAAAGAGAGCATTACATTGAAATTAAAGGTTAGAAGAAGAAGCCAATGGAGACAATTGTGTGCGGCGTGTCTACATATGCTGAAAACGTTGCAAAATTGCTTCATTTTCGATTTTGGAAAAAATTTCCTTCTCCATGTATATCACCAAACTGTCATTCATCTGTTCATCTCACATTCTACTCCCTAAATCATTCTACTCCATTAAATTCTTAGAATTAAAGCAATTAATCAACAAAAATTTAAAGCAGCTAAAGCAATGTGAGTAATTAATCAATAAATTTGCAAAAACAATTTCAACTTTATACCCATTCAAGAAATTAATCTATTACACTTAAAGAAATTAAACTAATTGATCAATAAGCTTGCAAAAGTAATTGAACTTTAAAGCAAAAAAACAATTACATTTTAAATTAAATAAGTAATTAAATCAATTAAGCAATTAAAGTAATTAAAAAAAATTAAAAGGACTTACGAAAGTCAGAGTCCAAAAGCTGAAAGGAGAAGAGTCGATACACAAGCCTGCGAGAGACTAACGGAGAGTTGGGAACTTGGGACGCAGCCACGAGGGAGGAGCCGCCGGAGACTGGCGAGGCGGGATGGCAAACAGGCGATTAGGCGAAGAGCAACTGCAAGTCTTGAACTGCTGGAGGCGACGAACGGACGAAGAGGCGGCAGACTAGGCGAAGAGCAAAATACGAGGCGGAAGGTCAAAGGGTAATATCAGATTCTTATTCAAAACAAAACGGCGTCGTTTTCACATTTCCTGTGCACTTAAAAAAACTACGTCGTTTCTCTTTTTTAGACCTAATTTAAAAAAAACCTGTGCATTTCTTCTCTCTGGTTCGTATCTAGCGGCCGGGCATGGCAGCAGTGAGGTTTCAACGAAGAAGATGACATGGGCGGAAATGAATATACCTAACACTACTACTGAAAAAACTCCGGCGAAGGGGTGGCGCCAGCACCGGCTCGCTCCCCCCTGGTTCCGCCCCTGTGCTCAAGGACAAGCTAAATTAATATGCATGTTTCGACAACCATTTCATTTGATTTTCGACTATCTAATACTCCCTCCGTCCCGTTGGAATGTTCCCGGTTTGACCTACACACATATTAAGAAAATAAACTTACCAGGGGGTAAATTTTACTGTTTGGGCATTGTTTGGACACTGTTTGACACTGTTTGGTACTGTTTTGACATTGTTTTGCACTGTTTGACACTGTTTTGATGTATGATAACTTTCCATTTAGGAAAATGAGAACTTTCCATTGGGACATCCAAAAAAGGAAAGTGAGAACATTCCAACGGGACGAAGGGAGTAGTTCATTTTTTTCATTTAGTACACTATGAGATGACACTTCTTACATAAACTAATAAAGAAATGCATTACAAGAAAAGTGCACATAGACCAATTTTTTTTTTGCGGTGGTCGCATAACTGTTGTTAAAAACATCATTAACCACACATTTTTTATTTACCACACACAAAACTGTGGTAAAAGGTCAGAGACGACAGTTTTTAACCGTGACCAATGTTTTTACCACGGCGGTTGTGGCGACGCACGTAAAACTGACGCAAAACTGTCATGAATGTTCCTCTACATTGGCCAACACAAACCTTATTTACCACACACAAACCTTACGTTTTTACGACAGTTTTGCGACAGTTTTACGTGCGTCGGCACAACAGCTGTGGTAAAAACATTGGACACAGTTAAAACTGTCGTCTCTAAGCTTTTACCATATTTTTGTGTGTGGTAAATAAAAAAATGTGTGGTTAATGGTGTTTTTAACGACAGTTATGCTGTCATCGCAAAAAAAATTGTGGTCCATATGGAGTCTATGTGCACTTTTTTTTGTAGTGATATGTCTCGAAATAGTGTATCTCACGGATCCAAACATGAAACATCACGTGCATACTAAGCTACATGCACGTGTTGGAGTAGAAATTATGAAGTTATATTAGTATGAATTTTTTCTAGCACACATGCTGACATGCTTTATTCTATATTTTGAATTTAATGCCACTATTAAGCGAGTCTTGAATGACCAATTGACCATAGAAGATAATTATTACAGAGTATTTTACAATTTATCGCTTCTAGACTTCTATGAGATCTGCAGGGAACTTTAAGTTTATGAATCATGGATGACTCATAAACTACTACAGTACAGTATTACTTTTGGATCTCCAATTTGCCTATAATAATATTCGAATTGTAACTTGGGGTCTATTCGAACTCTTCATACGGAATATTAGGGATAGATATAATTTTTTAAAAGTACCTTTACATAACTATATGACAAAAACTATAGCTTTGTATTAGGTTTGCTGATACAGTAAAATTTAAGTTATCATCCATATCTGCCACCTAATTATGTTGTGTTAGATTAATGAATTGACAGGATATGTATTTAGTGATTGTCTTAAGAAAATTAGAAAAAGATAGAGGGGGCTAATCACAAAAGGCCCAAAAACATGACAATGCAAATGAGATCAAGCCCTTATTGCTCGCACTTGCCATTTACCAGTCTTTTCAGTTGATGTCTTGTTCACCTTTTAAAAAGGAGGACTATTCACTTACTCTATATTTTATCAATAGCTTCTCTTTGAGTTAAGCAGTGTTTGCGGTTGTTTAAAAAAAGCGCTTTTCAGCTTTTGACTTAAAAAAAGCTAAAAAGAGTGTTTTCAAATGACAGCTTTTGCTTAAATTAATCACTTAAAAGCTAAAAGCTGGAAGTAGGTGGAAGGGTGCTTTAAACTGCTTTTCACTTTTTCTATTACACAAAAAGTACTTATTTTACCAAACATTACCAACTTTTACTTTTTCAGAATCACTTTTTTCTCAAATACTACCAACTTTTACTATTAATCACTTTTCCCAAAATCACTTTAAAAAATTACTTTTTTAAAGTTGAAGCAACTGCAAACACTCCCTTAGTTTCCTTCATTCAAAAAAAAGAGTTTGTTTCCTATTTCCTAAAATTATTTGTATTTTTATTTTATGGGATTACATTGATTTAATTCAATCTATAATTTTGAATATCAATATTTTATTCTATTCATATTTAGTTTTAGAAATTCAACCAAATTTGTAATAGACTTTGGGAATATGTAAACTTTAATATATTACGTAATATTTAATACTTATATGAATATTAGTATAAAAAAACTAGAGGCAATAACATTCCCTAATCCTTCCAGAAAACATTCTCAAACTCATTAAGAGCTTGTTTGGTAACATTGAAATCAGATGAATCGGCTGATCCTGCTGAAATTTATGAAATTATGGCTTAAGTGGCTCTATTGGCTGATTTTGCTGATTTATCAAAAAATTAAAGTTAAAATATATTTATTTAATAAAATAAAGAAAAAATTATACTCCGTATGTAAAAATAGCTAAAATGGTCCTCTACAGTAACTTCACCCGAAATAGCCAGAAAAGTAACTACAACCTTACTTTTTCTTATTAATACACATTTCAGCGCGCGAAATCAAAAGTTACGTGTTTGGTGAAACAGTTGACTGATAAGTCGAATAATAGTGTTACTAAATGGGCTCTAAGTATGAATGCCAACCTAATATATTCAATATATATATATATATATATATATATATATATATATACATAATTTGAATTAGTTAACAAAATATGTAACCATAAATATATAAATTAAATATCACACAAGCAACCACATAAATTAAATATAACACCAAACTTTAAAATGTAACAAAATTACACATCATCATCTATAAACTAAAAATATAGCATCGCAAAGTTATAACAAACTAGACTAGTCATTATACATATGTATTAAAGAAAATATTTTGAAGCTGTTAAAATATTCATCGCACACCAGAAAACTATAAAATAATAAAACATTATATAAGAATTTAGGCTACTAATAATAGGTTGAACTTTTAGGATAGAACTCTTGATCTTAACATAAACTTAATAAATCTTAAAATGTAAGCAAACTTAAGATAGTTACGTCACACTTTATTGATCAAGAATCTTTGTTTAGAAAAATAATGATGCAATGGAAATAAAGAATTGGAGATTACAATTTAGAAGTTTATACGATAGTAATGATTTTGAAACTCTTTCTTATAGACTCGTGAACATGAAAATTTTTTGGATTTTGTCAGTACATTATATTAAACATTACATGTAATAGACTTTTATTTAACTAATATTTTAAAACGAGGTCGCTTTAGATATCCGTTTTTTCAATTTTAATAACGATACGATACCTAAATTTTTAGGACCCAACCCCAATCCACTCCGAACAGTAACAACTTGTCCGACTCGTGGTTCACGTACCCGTACTCTAGGCTACATCTCCTTTAAAAGCATAAAAGTATTATTTTCCCATGAAAAGTACTACCTTGATCCTAACTACAAACTCACAGAAATTAAAACGCCACTCTTCCATTTTGTGTTATCCATAACCAAATTAATATTTTTTTGGCCGACTAGAACTAGTTTGAGTCATAGATCTAAACTTAAATAGATCTGATTAAATTCAACGAAATTTAAATAACAGTAAAATAAACATAATATCATAATTAAACTACATAAAATCAGAGTAAAAAAATTGAGCTCAAGTAGAGTATCATCACCATTTTTTCTTTAATCACCAAAATTGTGAGGTACAAAAATTCCATTCGAGTTATAACATCATCATAATTTGTTACGATTGTTATGCACGTTACTTGGGGACCATGGTGAGTAACATTTGTACGTGGTGGGTACGTAGCAGACTAATTAAATAATCACCACAAAAAATAAAAACAAATAAACTTTTCTTTTAATAATCTTCTGAAATGCTGGCAAGATGGGGCCTCCATTCTCCGACTTTATTGCTCCGGCGATGCCGTTGAGACGCCGCCTTCGGCTTCGCCGGCGATGTGGCCGATGTATTATTAGTAGTAGTAGTATCGTCGGAAATTTTCTTATTCCCGGACTTCGGGGAGCCGGCGGCGAGTTTCTTTTTCTGATCTCGTGGGACGGAAGACGCCGGAATCAAGAAGTAGATGCTGCCCCTCTTGAGCTCCGACGTCGGAGAGACGATCAGAATCCGGCGAACCATGCCCTGAGAAGTGGGTTTGCTAAGGACGTGATTGGGGTTGTCCTTGAGGACTTCACCGGCGGTGATTGGGTGAGTGATTTCGTCAATGTGCCCATTCAAGTGGACTATACGGATCAAGTCTAAGGCTCCACATGGAAGAACGCATGCCAAACAGCACCTTAAAGTGTTGCCCATCTCCACCAGAATTAATAACAGTTTGGATGATTACAAAGATTTTGGAGAATCAGTAAAGTGATCTGACAAATGCTTCAGTTCTCTTGAGATTGTCTGAACTCTGAATGGGAGGAAAATGTTAACTGTATCTATATATAGCTCCAAACCGGGCCGGTCTGCATATGTAAGATGGAGTACTTTTTTAAGGGCTGTTTCCAAGAAAATCATAGAATCACCATGGATGGGATATACTACTACACCTTTTTTTTTCTAAATAAAAGTGGATAAATGCATTAATTATACTCCGTAATAAAAATAAGTTTAAAAGCCAGTTTGGTAAAGTCAATTTTTTTACTGAAATTTTCCAATTGTGGCTGAAATAAGTTAACGGGTTGAATTAGTTGAATTATGAAAAGAACAATTATGAAATATTAATTAATTAAATAAGTAAAAAAATTATATAGAAAAAGTAGTTGCCTTCAACATAATAAGGGTAATAGGGGTCGTCTCCTCACTTTGTAAGGGTTGAGATTTTCCGCCGCTCCTCTCAATATGGGATTACAAGGACAAATTATATTGATTTTAAATGTCTTAACGTTTGGGCTTGCAACTACGTCAGAGGAGATAGTGTTGGCGGATGAACAAGTTGCGGTTGAGATGTTGTATCGGTGCGGGACCGTGAAGCCTTGATCGGCCGCTCTGACGGTGGTGGAGTTGGTATTCACTCATATTGCACGAGTTCGTCCTCCTCCGGAACCACCTGGCCTCCATACCAGGAAGAGTTTTGTGGAAAGTTTTTATTTCAATATTATTTTCTCTTTAGTAGTACTTGTTTCTGTTTTGGTCCCAATAGATTTGATTTGAATGTTTGAATTTTTGGAATTCTTTTGATAGGCATGGTTTAAGATTCGTACATTTTAGACTTAAATTTGTCCGCTTCAGGTTTACCGAGTCAGAATAGACTGACTCTATGTCTATTCGTAAGTTTCACAATTGAATCTGTAAAATTTGTCTCAAAGTTATCTTATTCAGCCTTACAAGTAATTTTAGTCTTATACCTTTTATTTATTACACAAGTGGATACGCAGAATAAAAATTTTAATTAGTGTTTGATAAAAACATATGTTACCAATTCAACACGACCCAGCACTATTTTCCTACCATTTTGCTACATTATTTACTTTTGGATGGTAAAAAGTTACATAACCTTTAAATAATCTAAGACGATAAAAAAACCTTTAAATAATCTAAGAGATGGAATACATTTGTGATTTGTGCGACATTTATCTATTGAGTGGTAATAAGTTATCTAATTTCTAGGCGTGAAATAGACGGAAGTCACACATTAACATATTTTAAAGAATGTAGTAAAATCATGTATGTTTAATTTGAATCACTCCCAAATCATAACCACTTTGGAGATATGGGTAGACGTATTGATTGCAAAATATACTCCGTATAATTAAGGAGCACGCTAACTTTTGATGGTAATGCACACAGGCACCTGGACCGTCATAAATATCATATAGGGTATAGGGAGTATAATGCTCACGCCTAATAAAATGTACCAAATTTTTATGGAAAGATTCTTTTTGGGAAAATGGTCAAATAAGTCCTCGAAGTTTCACAAAAAAAAAACAAATAAGTCCTTATATAGGAGGCTTTGTCCGGCCGTCGCGATTTGGTGCAGTTTTCGATTGAATTTTTTTATGAAAACTTTTTAGTATCTTATTCATCAAGTCTAGTTTACTCATGCCAAATTCCCTCTACAACTTCAATCGAGAACACATTCAAGTTAATTCTTGAAGATAACTGTGTATTTAACTGCACAGTTATCTTCAAGAATTAATTTGAATGCGTTCCGGATTGAAGTGTTAACTGAAATTTGGTATGAGTAAACTAGACTTGATGAATAAGATGCTCAAAAATTTTCATCAAAAAAATCCACCAGGAACCGCCCCAAATCACGATGGCCGGACAGAGCCTCTTATATAAGGACTTATTTGACCTTTTTATGAAAATTCGAGGACATATTTGATAGTTTTCTCATTTTATTTTATTATATTTATATACATAAAAAGTGTACACGCTTTGAATACACATCTCATAGTTGTGAGTTGTCTGTATAGTGAACATCTCGTTTAGAAAAGACATTATTCATCTATATTTACAAATGAGTGTACAAAAAATATACTCCTTTTGTATACAATGGTTGTTTTATAACATCTAAGCATTCCAGCATTCCATTTGTTTATTGAGTGTTCGACATATAAATGAATGTTCAAATCGTTTATTTTCTGTGGTGGAATGTTTTGTGCAGATCGAAATCCACAAATATCAATTAAAATCCATTCAAATAACTAACAATAGAAATCTACCAAATATTTCAGAATATCGTTATTTTCATGGATTCCGCATAAATATAAATCGAGAACTCTTAAATTCTGACGGAATTCTAAACTTCATTAATATAATCCATATTGAGGATACCGCTAAGTCAAAAGAAATAATCTACAATTAAATATTTCTAAATTGAACACTTAACGTGTTTGAACTTTGAAATACGGGTCGGAGTATGTCTCAAAAGCTAGAGTGTACTTTTCAATTGAGCTCTAATACGCACACGCATTCATCTTTTAATACTATATTTGCTAAATACAATCAATCAAAACAGCAGAGGCGAGTTTTAATTTTACAAAGAATCTCTTAGAAAATATATTTTTAAATATTTAAACGTATAAAATAGGGAAATTTACCCACATATTACCAAAACTCGATAGAATTCTTAAACTATGACTTAAACTATGACCTGACATGTTTTTAGTCGGTCCAATGACAAAAAATTGGGAAAAAAAAACGGCCAGGTTTATTCGGTATTATTAAAGTACGAAAATACCCCCAAAAAGGAAACAAAACGTGCATTGAGGATCTACGAGAAGTCATCGGGCAGAGCAAAAATTCGGCTGAGCGGTTTTTTTTTCAGAGTTCAAATTATGGAATTAGTTAAATGCTAAAACTACCTTCAGTTAATGAGAGCGATGAAGGAGAATTGGTAAAAACGACATCTGGAACTCATAAGCTGCAGAGAGGAAGAAAGAAGACGAACAATGGTGAAGAAAAAAGGGAACTCTCGACGAAACAGCGATGAATTGGACTACGAAATCGTCAAAATCAACGGCGTGGTTAGTTTTTTTTATTATTTTTTTGTGTTCGTGAAGTAATTACATATTAATGCTTCAATGCAATGTTTTGACGAACATTTCTGTTAGCGAATTCATTACATATGCTGATATGCGACTTGAATGCATGCATTGATGTTGTTTGAAAATGAGTGTATATTGTTGTTGTTTAGTTGGTGTGTTGTTGAGTAATTTGGAAATACAAATTGAAATATGAGATTCACTACACTTAATCTAGTTTTTGGTTGTTTAAATTTTCAAATTTAGAAAAGTAATTGTGTGCATTGAAATGTGGATTGAGATAGTGTTTGTTTTAGTGTGATAGATCAGACTAAATGCGTGTATTTGTTGAATGTATTATGGTATGCAATATTTTTTAATATTTACTGAGTACTCTGTGCAGTGAATCAGATAGAATTCTATATGTGATGTGAATCTAGGTAGAGTGTCTTTGTAGTTGACTCATTTGGAAATATGGCTTTCACTGCATGTAATTGAAGTGTTTTTTTTGTTGAAATTGTAAACTGAGCTAACTACATTTGTGCATTGAGGAAGTTGAAAACTAAGTAAATTAGTGCATTGAATTCTATTATTTATTTTAGTGTGATATATCGTTGCATGTAGTGCTAGCATGTGGTATATGTATGCCATGTTTCTTACATCTGAGAGTGTTACATCTTAGAGTATATATAAATTTTAAGGTTTTTTAGGGAACGTAGTAGTGTGTGGTGTTACTTGGAACCTGCAGTAAGAATGAAAACATGATATGCAGTTATTGAGGATCTTTAATTATATTAAGTAATGCAAAAAACATATTGTGGTGTCATTATTGGAGGTGTTAACTTGTATTATGTATATTGTCCTAGGCATATAAGCGCTACTGTAATGCCGAAGTTCTGGAGACAAGAGACGACATGAGAGTTAGTAGTTTCTGCAATCCAGTGAAGGCTGTTGAAAGTATTAAGAGTGTATTGACTGAAGAAGAAGTGAAACTGTTTAGGGAGACCGTATTTGGATACATGTTAGATGTAGGAAATCTGAAATGGTTAAATGCACAACTGATATCCATGCTGATAGGAAATCATGTCGCACCTGTGGAAGAGATGACTGTTATGAATGAAATTCAGTTTCAAATTGGAGAAAGAGTAGTAGGAATGAAGAAAAAAGACCTAGCCTTGATAACAGGATTTTAGTTTGGGAGGAACATACCAGCTATGAGTACTCGTTGCGACGGGGAACTGTGGAGGAGGCACTTTAGTGGAAAGACAAGTCTTGACCGGGGAGACCTACGGCAAGCATTTGAATCCATTAATAATAGAAGAGAAGACATGCGACCATTTGATGCGGTGAAGTTAGCATTGTTGCATGTTCTTGGTAACTACATACTAGGTAACCAGAAATCACTCAAAGTGCCTACAACTTACATCAACCTGGTAGATGACCTTGATGCATTCAATAAGTTTCCATGTGGTGATATCGTGTGGTCTGATTTGGTTGATAAGGTTCCGAAGTGTGCAACAATATTGGGGGAGGGAAAGAGCACTAGGGTGACATTCCCTGGATATGTATTTGCCCTACAAATATGGGGTTTTGAGACTTTTCCTGAACTGAACAGAGAGAGAGTGTCCTTGAAAAGGCCCGAAACTTACTGGCCAAGGACATTGAATTGGTCTGTCACGTCAAAGCCATCATCTGTGGTTCTTGCAGAGATTATTTTCAATAATCCAGAGGTAAAATTTATATTCATATGTATTTTATAATGGTTGTGATACATATTGATTATGTTTAATGCATTTTGGTGATTATGATGTGTGGTCATTAATTGTAATGAAAATCTGGAATTTGCAGTTTCAATGGGAAGAGATGAAACCAACAGAGGAGGAGTTAGAAGAGACATGTGTTGCACATGCTTTGGAGAAAATAAGCAGTGAAGAAGCTTCTTCATAGCCAGTCAAGAAAGCAAGACGAAAGGCTACAAATGGTGGTTG